AAAGGGATCTTTGGAGGTCACCTATTCCAGCCCTCCCACTTATGTAGAAGGACAAGCTGAAGAACATGTGCTCTAAAAAAAAAAAAAGGATAGAACCCTTGTTGCACCAGAAATCATTACATGAAAATCTCATGAAATAGCACAAGCATGACAAATTACATGGCAAAAGTTCAAAATCAGTAATGGCTGGTGCATAAAGATGATGTGTCATAATGTTTTTTGCCTAAGGAGAAGGATTTGTTTTGCCATGATCTGCCTTCCGACTTCACCAAAAAAGTCACTGCACTCTAGCAATGCGTGATTGGATTGCATAAAGGTCATGATTACCTGCTGAGCCAAATGGGAAATGCAGATGAGACACCAGTTTCCTTCCATGAGCCATCCAATTACGTCACTGAAGAAATAGGCACAAAATCCGTCATCATCAAAACTTTGGGGAATGAAAAAATGTGCATTACAGTAATGCTGGCAGTGTTAGCAGATGGCATAAAATTGCCACCGTATGTGATCTTGAAGCGGAAAACAATGCTGAAGGACCAGCTGCCTACTGGAATAATTGTTAGGTGTCAAAACCAAGGATGGATGTCTACAGACTTAATGAAGGATTGGTTGAACATCATTTGGAACAGAAGACCAGGTGTGCTGGTACGCAAAAGGAGAATGCTTGTCCTATATCCTAGGTACATTCAAAGGCTATCTAACACCAGCAATGAAGAATATCATTGGAGAAAAGAATGCAGCCCTTGCAGTTGCACCAGGAGGAATGTCACAACTGCAGGTGCCTGATGTAGTAGAGAACAAGCCCTTTAAAGAACGTTTGTAGCCCTTATGGCTCTTAGCATGGGATCCTGCTATAACTCCTACAGAGAAGATAAAGAAGTTCTAGTGCAGCACTGCTTTTTCTTTGGATTAAGACAGCATGGGATCAGATAAATCCAGAAGTTGTCGCTGAATGGTTTAGGAAATACTGTATTTCAAATTCCATAAGAGAAGCCAATGATGATTTGAATTCAAAGAATGAGAGGTGAAGACACTAAAAGTGGGGAAGAATTTGAAGATGGTGAAGAGTGTGACAGTGATGGAAATGATTGTGCCAGATGGAAAATCTAAACTGCAGTAGTAATAAACCATAAAAAAAGAAAATAGACTAAATTCAGGCAAATCATTATTGAAATTTCTATCCTTATTGTATGTGGTTACAGATATGTAATAAACTTCTATGTTTATAACGTTTTTCTTTAGGAATGTTATTTTTAATTCAGCATCACTGCCCATGAGTAAAATGAGATATTGTCTATAATCTGAAAATGCTTGGGAAAAATTTTGTCAGACAATATTCTGAGAAAGCAGTATTAGATGAGGAAATCTGACAAGATAGAAAAAGCCGTTTGTCTCCAAACTATTTACCAGTCTGTTATGTAAATAGAACATTTGTCAAATCATTTAAAAAAAAAAAAACAAAACCAACAACAAACAAACCACTTCTCAACTGGTATTGCTACTGGACTGAACGATAAATTTCCCAAGATCAGAGAAGACAAGGAGGAGGATCTGTTGTGAATAAAGGTTCAAAGCCTTGCCTATTGTTTTTATTTCAGTGTTGACATTCTTCAAAACCCAAGTAAATAAACCAAATATTGCTTTGGCAACATGTAAAGTGAGACACAAAAAGGCAGGCCAGCCTGGCTCTCCTCACTCATCCTCAAAACCAACAGAGCTGCCACTGCACGCCTTCATCTCCAAAAATCTGAAGATCTGGAGAGTCATAGAGTTGTTTACATACAAGGCTGCTTCAGAGGCAGCTGGAGAAGGAAGTTACCCTCTAGACTTTGATCCTTATTGATACCTTGCCGGAAAAGATCCAGCCCTTGTGTCTTCACTTACTTCAGTGAGGCTGCTGTCTACAAGCTGCAAATATGGAAGGTTAGAGCTGAAAGCCATGAAATTCTGACCCTAGAAATCTATAGCCAAGGCAGAACCCAAAGCTGTGCTGTGGGATACTTTAAAAAGCCCATGGCCAACTTGAAACTCAACACATATCTGTGCTAGAAAAGGACTTGTGTCTCAGCCTCCTGCATCAGAGAGCACCATGCAGTTGCCTGCTCTGGAGAAAATGAGAGGCAGAGATATCAGCAACAAGGTTAAGAAAAGACAGGCATGAGCCAACAAAGTGTTTCCACTGACTTCAGTGGACTTTGGATCAGGTCCTTTGTGAATACTTTCTAAACCAAAGGTCAGCACTGGAAAATCTGTATGTTTCATATTAGTCCATTTTTTATAAAAAACTATTCTCAAGCAAAAGATTTCCAGGCATACAGTGCTTTTCTTGTTGCTGCATGGAGGAGACCAATGGTCTTCTGCTGTGAAATACAATTGCATTTTGCCTGGTTCCCCAGTATATTTATCTTTTCAGCTATATGTTGCCTTGTTTATCCATTCCTATCAGCTTTTCATTAGTTTTTTTCTAAACATTGGTACTGACTATACAGAAGCCAAGAAAATTCAAGGCAAGTTCCAAAGCTGATAATTTCTTTCTTTCTTTTTATGTTGAAGACTCCAAACAAGCACCTATGATTTCAAAATGTATGTTTACGGTTTATTAGCACATCGATCTCCCTGCCATTCTGTGATAGAGTCTTAGAAATCACACAATGACTGTCACTATTTTTCTGATCTTTAATAAATCTGGCTCAATGATTTTCTGACAATTCTCTACCAAAACTATTCAAGCAGCCTGAAACACTGTTAAAAAAAAATAAAAAGGAAAGAAAGAAAAAAGTCAAACCCAATGCTGTATAGATTCAATTTTGAGTCAATAAATTGTTGATTAATCTGGCTCATGGTGTGTATAAACTCAGGCTTAGCTCTATTGGTAATCATCTCCAGAGTACCATACAGCTGCATGCTTTCATTTCACACCAAGGGAGCAGGGATTAAATCCCTAATGGAGAAGACATATAAACAGTTTTAGTCTCTGCAACAAGCACAGTCCCCATGGCAGCATATTTGTGTATACAGCATGTGAACCTGTGGAGGAAAAAAAACCCATGAATGGTGACAACACAAATGAGCGAGGGAGAAACCCAAGTGGAGTGGACAATAAGTTTAGCAGGGTGCATTGCTGTTTGTTAGTCACTTACACCAGCCACACTCAGGTGACATAGCATAAAATATCTCTCCTGCTCTGAGTGACAACATATGTGTGGTGACAGTCTGAGACAGTGAGCTGTTATGTGCAGCCATAAACTCCTAACAGCTATGCCTGTTCATTACTGTGCCTCCCTGACCATTAAGAGGTTCTGTAAAATGTGGGTTTACCCAGACCAGTATTCTCTATCATATAATCCTCACAAAGCTGTCCCAAGATCTCTAATATAGCAGCGTTAAACACAATGTATTTGTAAGGCTTTCTTTTTTCTTAGAGAATTTTAATCCCATTTATTGGTAACTAGCTTTTAAAATGACATTTTTCCTTGCTGCATTTAGCTTAGTCCAAGGGGAAAAAGAAAAAAAATAAGATGCCAGATGTCACGGGGCCAATAAGCAGGTGGGCCGAAGCTTCTGTACCAATTCAAACTGGCACCACATCAAACCTGGTGGGTATAACCTTTAATTCAGTGCTTCCCTGGCACCAGATCTAGTGCCATCTGCTTAGCTTTGCTAAGCTGTGCTTGTTTCTGTGCAGGGATGATGCCAACAATGCAAACTGTCTCCTACATGTGCAGGGAATCATCGGTGCAACTAGTTTTTCAAGACCCATATGGTGGCATCTGCAAATGTACACTGTCAGCATTGCTACTCATACCACCCTTCGTGTTTAAGAATGGAAGGAGAGAGCCCTGCTTTGCAATTCACATCAAGATGAAAGGATATTCTCTGTGCTCCTGTTTTTAAGGGCAACCCTGGGACGAAGGGAACATGTAACTTTAAAAAAGGAAGCAGTTTAGAAATCAGGCATGGGAACTGGAGAAAATCAAGTAACAGTTGGGAAAAAAAATTATGATTTTGTAGAAATCCTCTTAACTCATTGCCGGAAAGCTTCTCCACTGTAGTTAAAGCAAAAAAATTCACTGTATCCTTACTCTTCGGGCTATGTTCAGGTCCAAGTCGCCCTGACACTGCCACTTGCACGAATAGATGTCATCCTATCACTTCTCCGTAACATGGTACCATCAGAGGGCTGGAGTAGGTCAGAGGGACAGAGTGGGTAGAGGCTGGCTCCAGCATAGCTATTTTGGTGATTATTCCTGGCATTAAGAAGAATGACTACTGACATGGAGTAAGGGATGAAATGCTAAACCTACTAGCAAAGGTGAGCATACTCGAGCTATTAAAACTCATTTCAAGCTCAATTTAAGTTTCTCTTTGTTAGAGAGCAGCAACGCCTCCTTCCTACTGCAAGGACAGGGGCGTGTGTGTGACCACAGCCAGTTGATGCCTCTTCCTCTCCTCTGCCCTGCCTGCTGCCACACACTCTCCTTGAGACCGCAGGTTTTGCAGGCACTTTGCAGAGCTGAGAGGTGTGTGTGGTGGTTTGGAGGGGAAGGGCAGAGAGGCACCATCTTTGCTCACACCTCTGAGCATTGGCTTGGCATTTTCCATTCCTTCGTAATGTGGCCACTCAGACCTTGCCACTGGCTCTGATATGTTACCACCTATCACCAATGTCAGTAAGCAAGTTCCTGACACGCTGCTCTGCCAACCATCATCAAAACACCTCTGTGCGGTCAGGAAAAGTACATGTTGACCACAAAGAGCAGCTCTCCTTACTGAAAACTGATTAATTGCTCTCACAGAAGGTCAGAAAAACTGGTTCTGAGGGGTTTGAACAAAGCCCCTTCCTTTGGATTGCAGATGCTGTGGCGGAATGGTTAAATACAAATAAAAGGGTTTTTTTATAGTGGAACAATTTTCCACATTTGATTTCAGGGAAATTTGCTATTAGTCTAGCAGTCTTCAAAAAAATCACATTTATATAGGGCATAACTCTACCTGACATTGTGGCTTTAAAGCAAATCTTCCTTTCCTTGCTCCATGTTCCTCTGATTTCCAAATAGTTCTTTAACATTTTTAAATGAGGAAAAGGTTAACCCAACAGCTAGGGAATTATGAAGCCTGCTACCATTTTCCTTTGAAACCTCCAGCAATTCTCTATTCCTACAACAACATGGGTTCCCCCCTCCTTCCCTTTCAGTGTCATTGCACTCCCACTGCATCAGCAGTATTGCCCTCTCTGGATCAAATTCTGCTTATAGGTCAAAGAGGGGGCAAAAATTATTCTTAATTTGCACAAAAGTTATGAGCCTTCACTAATTCATGGCTTGGTTTCAAGATGTTTGGTTAGAACATGTAACAAACTATGCCACTATTACTTTTTCTTTATTTTTAATTCTACCAGTGGAGTTGTCTTCCCTTTATGTAGAATAAGATAACTGATCAGCGCCAAACACAGCTGCAAGCCATGTCAGTGGTAATGAATGAGGACTTTTTTTGTTGCTGTTATGAACTTGCAGATAGCATTAAACTGTGACCTTTAAATCACACTAGTCCAAAACTGCCTTTTTTTATTTTTGCACTCCATATGTTCCTTTTCTTGACATTCTATCTTCTGAAAAATTATAATTAAAGATTATAACTAATAGAAATTCAAACTTCCCTTATGGAAAGGAAGCATCTTTTGGGTAGAAAGATACAAGCAGAAGAAAGATTCATTTATTCCTTTGACACACTGACAAAGAATTTATGCCATGGTCATCTGACTCTGAGTATTAGACTGTAATTTCTTCCTCTAAAGAACTTCACCATGATTGGTATACAACCTGTATGAAATTTCTGAAGGTCTCATCATGTACACTTCCACAAACAGACAAGAAAAAATTGCACCTGTTGAAGTTTCACGCTGATGTTGCCAGTGCACTGCAGAAAACAGTTAATTGCCCAAACCCACTGCTTGCACTGCTAAGTAGCATTTTTGTTTTTACAAGGAAAGATTACTTGCAAATACTCCCTCTTGTGATCAAAGCTAGAAAACCAATGGAATCATTTCCCACTGGTTAAAATTTTTCTAATTGACATTTTTCAAGTGTTACAAATAGCCTGCATGCAGGATTTTTAAGCCCTTCCATTATTTGTTCTTGTAAAAGCGAAGGTTGCCTTTCAGAGGCATTAAAAAAAGGTTCATTCATGTCCTGATAAGGCATTGCATATGCTGAACTTCATTTTTCATTTCATTACTCATGTGAAGAGGACCTATTTAGAAGGATGTATTTGTTTCTCCTTTTCCAGTTGATAAGACAATATTTTAAATCGCATTGGTTGATGAGTCTTCATGGAAATAAAGGAGTGTTTAAAACAACAACAACAAAGTTTTGTGTTTTTTTTCTTCTTATTGTCTTCATTGAGTTTAAAAATATACTTTAGTTTGACATAAATACCTTTAACCTTGAATTTCACCCATTGAACGAGGGTAGCTGCTGGACATTATGAGGTTCACAATCAGCACTGCACTGGACTTTCCAGAAGAGTGATTAAAAGGCATACAAAGATCTAAAAAGTAAAAAGAAAATACATAAGCTGTGTTTTAAAGGGCTATCAAGATGTCTTTTTCTGCTTAGCCCAAAAGAGATCCTGGCCTAAGAATACTCATTTTAACCCCATGAAATAACACTTGAGTTTTCATTCAGAAAACACAAGTTTTCAAAAATTCAACTGTATCTCTTAGCTAATTTTTTTTTTCATGAAAATGTTAATTATGTCCCTAATTGTGCCTTATACGGATTTAAGTCTTAAATTTGGTGTCCTTAAATTTTACATTAGTGCATACTCATTGTTTACCTCATGGCTCACTAGATGTGCTCCACCATTGGTTTTGTTCTATCAGTCACCATGGAAGAGAAATAACACTTCACAAATCAAGTCTTAGAAATGGTTTGATGAAGAGATTTTTTTGTCTCTTTTGTTTTGATGAAGAGAAAATATTGGCTAAAGACAAAAATTGGCTAAGGAAATTAGAAATTAAATACCAAAACTTTGACACATTTATGAAATTTATAGAGCTCCAATTGCCCTTTCCAGCTACCCAAGGCAAATTAAAAGTAACAGTGATCACTTATGCTTTTCTATGTGAATACCAACACCATGAATGCATCTGGATTTACTTTTCTTTCTAATAATTACCACATGAAATGTACACGCGCTATTGTACAGTTGGTGGAGGGTCTCTACCCTGAGCTGTGACTGACTGTGTCTCTGGAGGATCCCAGCCCTATATGTCACATTCCTTTTTCCTTGCATTCCAGTGCACAGGTTTACCTGCTTTTTGTTCCACTGCATTTGCTCCTGGACATTCTTCTGGATACTCTTAGAAATACTGCTGAAGTGCTTGAATCAATAAAAAGCTTTTGTACACTCTTTTATTTCTACATATTCTATGTGCTCTACCTTCTACATATAAACTTAAAAAAAAACCCACTCGGGCCTTGGCAGCTTTTTTCCAAGGTCCTCAAGGTTCAGAAAAAGAGTGCCACATGCTCTGGAGTAAGAAATGATCAATAGAATGTGCACCCAGTATTTTTGTTCAACTCACTTGTTTATGTCAAAACATTCATATCAAATTATTTATTTCCTTTCTGTAAGCAACAGAATAACTTTTTTTTGTCTTAAATGAAAAAGCCCCATATAAACCAAGTAGAATAGAGCAGACAAGGTACAGCTACTAAGCCCATGCTTTGCTAAAGCACCAGACTTGCATTTCGCAGTAAACAATGGTCAGGGGAAAACCCTTTAGTGTTTTTCACACTCCACTGAATACTGTTCCAGTGTATTTTCTTCAGGGGTGTTATAAAGCACATGCAAGAAACAGTTTCTGGGTTTTGCAAGTTCAGAGGATGGCAAGGCTGGTTCCCTGCAAGCAGAGCTGACCTTTCTAAAGCATTTATTCTGGCGTACCAGGGGCTGAATAATCTGAGAGACAGACATAGAGCACATATAAATAAATAAATCACACAGAGGAATATGAAAATTCCCATGCAGGATATGCCTTTTGCAACATGTTAACCCTTTCTGCAGAGAATTTATGGACAAAGATGTTGTGTTGATAGTTCCAGTCATCTGTGTTAACTCTGCCATAACTTCAGCCATGTGGAGTGAACTATGTCTTCAGCAATGTCTGGAATGTTCCCACATCTGCTTAATTTGTTTCAGAAATGCCAGCAGTGTCACAAAAATGTTCATCTACACAGGCTTGTACAGGGTCTCTAGCTCTAATAAATATTACTACTTATTAATCAGTGACATTAATTTTTTATGTTTAAACCAATTGAACACAATGAATAACAAAGATACAAGAAAAGCATAATCCCCACTGCCATTACATTTCCATTTAAACAGATGTTTCCTTTCCTTGTTTTATAGACTGGAAGAAGTAAATTAGTTGCAGAGTTTGACAACACATTTTTTACAGCAGCTTACAAACTATTTAAAATCACTAAGAAGGAGTATTAGCATTGCATTTGCTCTGGGGCTACCATGGTGGTGAAATAGGTTTACAGGCACTTCCCTAAAGCCTATGAATGATTCAAACCCACTTAATATGTAAAATCATATACACATGCCCTCTCTCAGATATCACATGCTATGCCTATCTGTGAGAAGGAATACTCACCAGCATCTAAAATATAGTCTTTATTTGTATTGAGTAGAATTCCAGCTCTGAATGGGATCACTTGCCAGCCACTGTAGAAACATATAATCTCTGTTCACAAAGGATTTTTACTAGGATTGTAAATCAAAAGGTAAAAGGACGACTGTGTCAATGAATGAGAGTATCAGAAAACCAAGAGAGGCTGTAGTATCCTAGAACACTGAGATGCTTAGCCATTCTCAATTTTTAGACAACCAGATATATATATATCTTATCAGAGAATGTGATTATCCTGTTATACCATTCCTAGTCGGCAAAATCAACTTGTTCAGTTGATAACTGTGCTCCACCCTGATATGATTTCTGTCCCCACCCCAAAAGAATAATGCCTATCAAACTACCCTGGGAACAAAATATTAGAATTTATTTGGTGTAAGGAATCCATTCCTAAACCACAACAAAGGTAGATTGCCATATTCTCAAATGTACATCTTTCAAAGAAGAATACACAAAACTTTGCATTTAATTCCTGGCCTCACATGCAGCACACATTGGATTAGAAGAATTTTGCGCAGAGGCAGACAACCAATTTCTGGTATGCATGAACAGGGAAAGATTTAGGTTGAGAAAAGAGTGAGCTACAGTTCTTTTGGGTATGGTTGAAGTATTGTGACAAATTAACACTCTCCCTCTTTTCCTGCAAGCTACATCCTTATGATCTTTGGTGAAGGAAATTAAAGGAAACTCTATCCTGCTACAACTTCAAACCCCTGCTGCATGGCAATAACATTTGTATAGTGTCAAGGACTATCTAGTCTATCAGCCCACAGACCTGTAGATGCTCTTAGTTCCGAAGATTGAACCAAAGATTAATAACATCCAGTCTGCACCCATCTTGAAGCATGTGAGATAAACTATTCAGTGGAGACAGAGCAGATTCAGAGAGCTCCACATTATGGAAGTGGAATCAATAACTCTTTGTTTCCTAAGATCAGAAGTTCGCTACATTGAACAAACAATGCCCTTTTTTAATTGCTTTTGTCTTTCCCAAATTTGCAACTTCAGCATAGTCTCAAAGAAAACATAGACAAGGAAAAGTCTCTGTAGTCCATGTAACAGCTTGTTCAGTGCCAGGGGGAGAGACTGTGGAATCATAAGAGGACAATGATGTCTCAGAGAAGCCTCCAGATAAAAAGGAAACTCAAATAGGCTAAACCTGTTGGCAAACACACTCCCTTTTACCCACTTCTGCAATTGAACTGCTTTGCCCATTAGGAGAGTGGCATCAAAATTCAGCCTTCTGTCCTACTTACCTACCTGGAGGTTGGCATTAACCCTCTCATGATATACTTATGACGAAGATGCAGGAGACCAAATATCTGTTCCTCACAGCAAAATCTTCATATGAGAGACAGTACAACCATATGATTGATCAAGTGAAAAGTCTGGGACACAAAGATGCATGAGGAGAGGGTCAAACCTTATAGGATAAGCTGAAGTCTGTGGAGTAGAAATTCAGAAGAAACATGCAGGACAAGAACACCAGCTTAAGGGGAAGAATAGAAGAAAAGCGTACTTAAAGTTACAGCAGAAACACAAAGACAAAAAAATAGTGGTCCCTTGGTAAATACACCTTGATCTATACCAGATCTGCATTTGAACTTGATATTACATCTAAAAGAAAAACAAACAATAAATAGTATTTAATTGATTTGAATGAAAGCATAATACTTAGGAAATGAGAACTGAAATCTGACTAGAAACCCCAACTATTACACAGAACAATAAATATAGATCACATACCTGCAATTTAAATTTCCACCCCCAAAATGACTTTAGCACTGTCACAGGGTCTAAGAAATCTGCAATACCGCTAGGTGCTCTGTGTGAACCTCTTCCACAGTTCTATGGATTTGTATGCAAAGAGAAGTAGCAGTGAGAGGAAGAGAAAGCTGAAGTACACAGTGGGTATTGTTCCAAGACAGGACCAAATAATCACCTGTAAATTATTCGGAAAAAAAAAAAAAACCCAAACCAAAAAACCAAACAACAACAACAACAACAAAACCCAAACAAAAAAAACTCCCAACAATGGTAATGACAAAACAGGAAAAGAAATTGAAAAGCAGTTAAGTGGTGCACTCTAAAATGTCTCCGCTGAATTATGATAAGTATGTATTAGCTGCAGTATGTTTATCTATGTCCACAAGAGAGGATTAGCTGCAAACATTCTTCTGAGATAAACCAGAACTATTTGGTGCTGGCACTGTTAAATTTTTGTGATATGCAGGTGTTTGGAGCATGTATGTAGCTTCCTCGTTGGTTTTGATCCAGGTATTTCCACTGAGAGTATTTTTACGCACTACATGTGACGAGGTACACAGAACAATGCCAAACAATGGCACTTAGTAAAAAATAGCTTTTTTCACATTGAAGCTTAAAATAGTTTCATGTGTTAAAGACAATGAAGGTAAATACTCCCTTTATCAGAAAAACTTGGGGCTGTTGAATTTCACCCACTTCTAGTTGGCAAGCATCCCCACAGGCTGCTCAGTGAAGTGCTTCTTGCAGAGGGATGACAGCATAGCTACCCTATTTCTGCACAGTGTTAGCAGAGATTTAGGGGGCCTGGAAGATGCAGTCTTGGTTCAAAGGATGGGTGAAAACAGTCCTCTGCAGTGCCTGGCATCTTTGCAATGCACTTGTGCTGCACCAGAGCTCTTTACCCAGCCCACTGTAATTTCTTTCCTGCTCTATATGACTTCACACTAAGCCAAGATCTGCTGCTTGTCACCACACACCTTTTCTTGTTCCAAAAGCTCTTCAGCTCAGCTATCCTCCAAGGGCCCCTCTTGATGTGACAGGCCTGGAAGATTTCTCTAGTGACTTTGAAAGGCACCCACCTTCTTTCTGCTTGGTGTCTTTTCTGATGTTCGCTGCATCCTTACTGCCCTAAGTAGAGTAGCAGTGACTTAGCAGTAATTTAGTGTTTATTCTAGAAGTGGTGCTCTATGTGCCATCAAAAATCTAGGCACAATTTTGATAATTAAATTCAACACCCTCAATGCCAACTTAGACACCTGAAAAACAGATCAGTTAGACAAACCCCTTGAAATTTTACAACTGCACATTTTTAACTTCTCCAATTTTCACTGAAAAGCAACATGTTCCAGTTAAAGGATCTTTCCAAATAAACAATTTCCTACATCACAAACCTAATTCATTCTATCACTTACAAGTATTTTATTCTGTCAAATGACTTACTGTAAATTGTGCTTCTCTTGCAGTTCCTGCTGTCTCATAACCTTTTGGTCTATGCTAAACTTACCTAAGATGCTGGGTTAGTTCTCCACTTTCACACTGATTCATGTGTAAGGTCAGCATATACTTTTACACAGGGATCACTACATGTTTTAATCTTGTTGCTTCTTTCTGCTGAAAGCCACATTCTCAACCCCTATGCAATGTGACTTTTTGTTTACATGTAGTTTCTGGTGTTTCAAATGGTTTGGGTTTTTTAAATCTTTACATGTCAGTGTTCCAGTTTCTGAAACTTATTGTATTCTATGGTGCAATGAGGCACCTTGTCTCCAACTGTTTATCTACATGCACTCTTCTCCACTGCACCTGCCTTTCAGCACAGGTGACTCCCACTGAAATCTTGAATTATCCATGAGAACACATTGGTGTTTCATGGTTAGTAACCATGAAATGCATTGCATTCTTGTTTTCCTTAAAATCTCCCATTTAATTGCTCATTGCAGTTGTGCAAATTTCAGATGAAGTCATTAAGAATTTTTTGGCACTAACCTTGAGATGAAAAAAGTGTATTTCCAAACACTAAAGATTACAAGTTACTGATACATTTCAATAGAATATGGATCTACTCCTGTATCACTTGAGTTAATGTGATTTTTACTTCTGGCTATGGCTGTGAGTCCATATGGCTTTCATTATTTGTAAGGCTGGAAGCATTAAAAATTCAGAACAATAACTTCTATTAAATAATACACCTGAAGTGGACAAAGATTTACCTACACTAATTACACAGCAAGAATATATATATATATAACATCACTTGAAAATAGAGGTCTGACATACTTAATCTGCTCAAAATTAAGGAAATAGATTTATTAGTGCTGCCAGAAATTGAAAAGAGCGATAGTCTTATGGAACTTATGGACTTATATCTTCCTGACTTTTATTCTGAGTTCTGCAAAGAACAACAAAAAAATAATTGCAAATGCACCATATAAAAATACAGCATTAAAATATTCTGCTATGCATCTTAAAATGACAGAACAGAACAAAATTACCACAAAAATTAGTTAAGCAAAACTAAAATAGCAGCCCAGACATCTCTGTGGTCCTAATTCTGGACTATTTCAGCATGTCCTTTAGCCCCTCCACACTAAGCACAGCACTTTAGCACACAACTAACTACAGGGCATTGCCAAGTATTTCAGTAACAAAAATGGATATCAGGGCTGAGATCCAACATAACAGAACAACACCTAGGTCTTCTAATTTCTTCTCGTAAAAGCAATCCTTCCTTTCTCCCAACAACCGTTATTGCAGTTTGAATTCACCTGTCTTAGTAGAGGTGATCAGAACTGCAAAACCTTCTCTGCATGCTCATATTATATCTTTAGACTGAGACATGAGGCTCGGATGATATATCTAAGGGCAGGGCCTTCCACCTTCTCAGATGCATCCCCTGGATGTCTCAGACATATCCTGAAACTGATGAGGATACCTCGATCCCTCTACTCCTCTGCCATTTCCTGCTATTGAGCTTATCAGAGAAGTTCTTTCCAGTTGCCCCTCTAAGTGATTGCACTTGCACATTTTGCTATTGAATTACAGTTCTTTTCTACTATTTCAGTCCTCTAGGTAACACATCTTCCTGCATTATGCTTTGATCCTCTCCATATTGACAAAACCTCCAATTTTGTCTCATTACCACACTGCCACTTTTTATGCCCTTGTCATTACTAAAGCTATTAAGGAAAGACACGAGCAGAGGAACTAGTTACCAAAGGGAAAATCAGAACACATCATTTACCGTGCAGCAACTGCCCACATGCATCCTCCTACCTTTAGTGAAAGAGAGGAGCTGCCTCCTATTTATCAGGGACTACTGAGGGGCAAGTGTGTTGAGAGAAATAGCTACTGTGCTTAAGCTCTTGCCCATGATAATCATGAGAATGGATTTGGTGTCTTTAATCAGTCCCTAATGATCCCCTCAAGACTTCAGTGTACCTCCTTCCAGACTGATGATCCTCTTGAAGCACAAGCCATTGCGTGGTTATCTTGCCCTCATTCAGCTCTTTACCTATTTTGCAAGTTCCTGCTAATCCCCATTCTCCCTAGAGCAATTAGTAAATTACAGTGGAGCACTACATTAGGTGCCCTACTGAAGTCCAAGCAGATTTGACCTGCCTTACTTCCTAGTTAAGCCAGTCAGTTATTTTTCTGAATAATATCAAGTTAGTTCTGGAAATAAAAGTTGTGTTTTGCCTCAATTAGCTTCATATCTTTGTTTATACTTTCTTCCCAAATTTATACAAAGTTATATGCACTGTTCAGGTAAAACTGATGAACATGTAATTGCCCACATCACTTTTTCTCCTTTCTTAATATAAGTTTATACTTCTTATTGTCCATTCATGCTCTCCACTTTTTAAAATAATTTATAAAAGTAAGAGCTATCAAACTATTTTTGTTTCCTGGGACTTTGATGATTGAGTGCATATTTCCTCCTAATACTTGATGGAACTAAACTTCTCAGATTTTGATTCTATCTCAAATGTGGATATTTCAGATTATCTTCTTTTCCCTTGGATATCTTGATTAATTCTTATTGAATCTTGAAACTTGAAATATTACTTATTATTGAATAATGATTCAATAATTACTTATTATTGAATCATTATTCAACATCTTTGCCCTTGGTAAAAACTTAAAAAAAACTAAAATCATTTTGCTTTTGATCCATAGCTAAATCTTAACCTCTACCCCTGCACAGAAGTATGGCTTCTTCTATTGCTCTTTTGTTAACTTTACTACCAATAACTTCCTGCTATTTCATAGAATCATAGAATACTAGGTTTGAAAGAACCTCAACAATCATCTGGTCCAAAATTCCTTGGTAAAAGCATAGCCTAGACCACATGGCCTAGCACCATGTCCATCTGAATATCAAAGTGTCTGGTGTTGGGGAACCCATCACTTCCCTGGGGAGATTATTCCAATGGTTGGTTATTCTCGACCTGAAATATTTTCCTCTTGTGTCCATCCAGAATCTCTGCAGGAGTAGAATCATAGAGTCATAGAATGGTCTGGGTTGGAAGGAGCCTCAAATCTTGTTCCAGCTCCCGTGCCATAGGCAGGGACATCTTTCACTAGACCAGGTTGTTCAGAGCTCCATTCGACCTAACCTTGAACACTTCCAGTGATAGGGCATCCACAGCTTCTCTGGGCAACCTGTGCCAGTGCCTCACCACCTTCACAGTAAAGAATTTCTTCCTAATATCTAATCTAAACCTACTCTCTTTCGGTTTCAAGCCATTCTCCCTTGTCCTCTCACTACATACCCTTGAAAAAGTCCCTCTACAGGTTTCTTGTAGCTCCCTTCAGGTACTGGAAGGCTGCTGTAAGGTCTTCCCAGAGCCTTCTCTTCTTCAGGCTTAACAACCCCAACTCTCTCATCTGTTTTGTTTTGAGCCTTTTTTACTTTCAACGTATTTAGACCTGATATATTTTCCACAATCCTCTCCTTCTAATTTTTAGAAAGATTTTGTGGTTTTGGTTTTAAAATATCCCAGAGCTCATCCATATTCAAGACACATATTCAAAAACTTTTAAATCCAGCTGAATCCACTAATTAGGTTCTTAAATGTCTTAAACAGTAAATAAACCTTACTTAAGCACCTATTTTTATTTAGATTTCATTCAATTTAAAAAGAAAACACTGTTGATCAGGACAGAATATTATTGTCTGAGACCATAATTTTTGTAATGTTCTCATTACTCACACCAATTCACAAGTTCTTATTGGTCCGGCAATTATGTGGCAATAGGGCAGCTCCCACGTCTAGAAAGAGCTGCGCCAAGCAAACCACTCAGGTTAGTCCAGCTCCTTCAGCTGCATCTGAAGTCTCCTTTATGGCACAGCCCTATGGTTCCTGATAATACTCCCTCTGCTCAATAAGTTGTTTATCCATTCTGAATCTAAGTGTGCTGATTACCACCTTTACTATTATTCCACATGAAAAAGGTGTTTATTAATGTTCTCAAAGACATATTTATTCCAAATGTGCTCTTTTGTGTGTTCTATTCTTTCTGAACAGATTATCACATTGTTTGCATTTAGAGCCTTGCACTACCATTATTTTTTTTCCCTGAGCAATTTTCCATCCACTCCTATGGATTGCCACATTCCAAGCTCAAGTTCTCTCTAACTATGTTTCAGGTCAAAAGTTTCAGGTTTCAGGTTCAGGTTTCACGTTTTCAGGTGAACCAACAGTGTGCCCCAGCAGCCAGGAGGGCCAAGGTGGCCCTGGGGTGCATCAGGTCCAGCATTTCCAGCTGGTCAAAGGAGGTGAATGTCTCACCTTGAGTATCATGTGCAGTTTTGGGCAGCATGATATAAAAAAGACGCTAAGGTATTAGAAAGCATCCAAAGGAAGGTCACGAGAATGGTGAGGTACCTGGAAGGGAAGCCACAGGAGGAGTGATTGACGTCACTTGTTCTGTTCAGCCTGCAGAAGAGGAGATTGAGGGGAGATCTCATTTTGGTCTTCAATGTCCTCATGAAGGGAAGTGGAGGGGCAGGTACTAATCTCTTCACTCTTGTGGCCAGTGACAGGATTCAAGGAAATGGCATGAAGTTGAGTCAGGGGAGGTTTAGGTTGGATATCAGGAAAAGGATATTCACCCAGTGGATGGTTGAGCACTGGAACAGGCCCCCAGGGGAGTGGTCACAGCACTAAGCCTGATAGAGTTCAAGAAGCATTTGGACAATGCTCTGAAGCACATGGTGTGACTCTTGGGGTTTCCAGCACAGAGTCAGGAGTTGGACTTAATAATCCTGATGGATCCCTTCCAATTTCGGATGTTCTATGACTCTATGATTCCAGGTTTCGTTTATCTCAGTATTGTCAGCTTTCACAACCTGTATCAGGAAAACGCATTTCTCAAGGTTCCTGCCCAGATACCTACATTTATGGTCAAACACTTATTTGTCTTAAAAGGCACATATTTTTCTAGTAAAACAGAAAATACCCCCAAGCTACCTAATCTGCATAAATACTCTTCTTCTTCTTAATAAATACTCTTCTTCTTCTTAGTGTCTATTCTTCTAAAATCTGCTATTTCTTTATCTATGCATTCAAGAGCCCTATATGCATAAGAAGAGCTTTTATTTTTGAATTGTATAAATGGTAGGAAGCTGTTGGGATTGATCCATCAGCAAAATGGTTTTCTTCTGAAACCATTTATCAAAATATTTGCTGAATGACTTTTGTTTTTCAATAAATGACTGGAACATAATTTATTGTAAAAACATCTCCACATTTGTTATTCATTTCCATAGTCTGAAAAACAAATTCCTGTGATCAGAAGCCCTTGCTCCAAAGACAGAATTTGTTTTCCTCAGATGAATTTTTTGTCATTATTATTGCCAGCAAAATAAATACACTAAAAACCAGCTCTAAATAAACAAGAAACGAAGTTTTAGTTACAAAATTAAAAATACTGAAAATATTTTAAAAGCATTTTCTCAGATCTGATATTTTTGTATTTATCTCTTTTGATCCACTCAACATCCAGAATACACTAACACTTGGAAACAGTAATGAGAAAAAAAATACACCAGTAGTTAAAAAAA